TTAAGGTCGACCTGGAAACAAAAAAAAAAAAAAAAAAGTGCAGTAAAAGATCCATTGCCATTAAACTTCAGAATAGTCCCTCTCACTTTGTTGGGTGTTTTTGTTTTGTTTTGTACTGGGGGTCGAACTTGGGACCTTGCGCTTGCGAGACAGGCGGTAGAACCACTGAGCTACATCCCCGGCCCTCTCTCTTTGAACGCACTTATCCCATCATTCTTGGTCACTTTCTGAAGCAGTACTGGAAGTCGTCTTTCCTGCCTGTCCTTATGATGTGATCTAAAGTATAGTGCAAAAGAAAAGTACAGTGAATGCCGCTGCAGATGTCTTTCCTCTAACAGGCAGGCTGGTACAGAAGTGAAGTATGTTTTCATCCGTCGCAGATGATCACCAGTTCTGCCACTGCGCAGTTTCTGGCCCTTCCCCCAAATCAAAATGACACGAAAGGTGAACATTGAATTGATTTTAGGACAGTGCGGCAGACGCTCAGGAAAGAAAACTTCCAGAGCTACTTCAGAAAGGGGCAGGATGATGGGCCAAGTACATTGAAAGGAAGGAGGGCTCTTGTGAGGGAGATCAGTGGCAGTGTGTGTTTTACTCTAACAGATCTTTAAATGTCAAGTTCAGCGTGTCTTTCAGGCACATCTCCTAGGACATTAAGGACATGATGCTGTGGAGAGAATTAAATGAGCTGGTGTGTATGGAGCTCACACGGGTGTGAGGTGCACCGCTCGCTGTGCATCTGTGGCAGCCAAGCCTGGTTCTGTGAAGGCATTACAGCGCTGAGGAGGGGGACGCACTGTCGTCCCAAGGGCTGTGCCCTGAGCTGCGTGTGTGGGTGAGGGGTGGGGGGAGCACGGGAGATGCACCCGTGCCCCATAGCAGCCTGTCCCTCATCCTCCAGCTCTCACTCCAGCCTTGGCCCCTTCAGTGGTGGTGACTTTCTCTGCACTCCTCTCCACCAAGGTCACCCCCAGATTCGTCTGTGGTGGGTGGGGTGGGGAGGATGGCAACTTTTACAAATTTTCTTTTTCCATGTGCAGATTGAACTCGGGGCCTTTGCACTGAGCTGTTATCTCTAATCTTTTTGTGTTTTTTTGGAGATACGGTCTTGCTAAGTTACCAAGGTTGGGCTCAAACTTGTGATCCTCCTGCTTCAGCCTGCCAGAGTTCGGAGATTACAGGAGTGTGCCACCATGATCAGTTTATAAAATATTTTCAGATTCAGTTTCTCACATTGTATCTCGTTCACTTAAGTAAACCAGAGAATATTGTTTATGGTTGAAATAATGGATGTTTTAGTTCAGTCTGGCCAATTGAGATTCATTATAGAATCTGAATGACAAAAATTGTCTTGGGCTGCGGTTCTGTCACTGCCAGGACTAATAAAAAGGCCAGAACCCCAGCATCCCCGCCTTCCCAGTGTGTCTGTCGCTTGGTTTGTGTCGCATCCCACTGGATTGAGCTCCGTGAGGATGTGAAGTGTCCCCGCCCAGAGTTTCCGCCATCCCTGCCATGCTAGGGCCCCGCGCATGGGGGTCAACTGGAGGAGTGAGCAGGTGCAGAAATCCACCTGGGAAGGGGCCCAGAGTGCTGCAGCATGAGGGCTGGGCATCTGTCCCACTGGGCTCTGAGGCCGGCCCAGGAAGCTGACCCTTCTCTTCCCCGTGTGCTTCCTTCCCCAGGTCCCACCGAGGAACCACCTGCCAGTGTGCCCCCGCCTCCCCCAGAGCCACAGACTGGACCCCCCGCCCCTCCGCCCCGCCTGGATGAACGCCCCTCTTCTCCTATCCCCCTTCTGCCTCCTCCCAAGAAGCGTCGGAAAACCGTCTCCTTCTCTGCCACAGAGGAGGCACCGGCCCCAGAGCCTCCCCCAGCTGCCCTCCTGCAGACCAAGTCTCCTGGCCCGGTGTCTCGGAAAGTCCCCCGGGGTGCTGAGCGGACCATTCGTAACCTGCCCCTGGACCACGCTTCTCTGGTCAAGAGCTGGCCGGAGGAAGTGTCCCGAGGGGGCCGCAACCGGGCGGGAGGCCGAGGCCGCCCCGCTGAGGAAGAAGAGGCCGAGCTGGGCACAGAAGTGGACCTGGCAGTGCTGGCCGACCTGGCCCTGACCCCAGCCCGGCATGGGCTGGCTGCCTTGCCTCCTGGTGACGACTCAGAAGCCACAGAGACCTCGGATGAAGCTGATCGCCTCGGCCCGCCCCTCAGCCACATCTTCCTAGAGCACAACTACGCCCTGGCCGTCAAACCCACACCGCCTGCTCCGGCCCCGAGGCCCTTGGAGCCGGTCCCAGCCCCTGCGGCCCTCTTCAGCTCCCCGGCAGATGAAGTCTTGGAGGCCCCTGAGGTGGTGGTGGCTGAAGCAGAGGAGCCAAAGGCACAGCAGCAACTGCAGGCACAGCAGGAAGAGGAGGAGGAGGAGGAGGAGTCTGAGTCCTCAGAGAGCAGCAGCAGTAGCAGCAGTAGCGATGGGGACGGGGCTGGCCGGAGACGCAGCCTCCGCTCCCATGCTCGGCGCCGGCGGCCAGTGCTCCCGCCGCCTCCGCCGCCGCGCCCCTCCTTCGAGCCCCGCAGCGAGTTTGAGCAGATGACCATCCTGTATGACATTTGGAACTCTGGCCTAGACTTAGAAGACATGAGCTACCTGCGACTCACCTATGAGCGGCTGCTGCAGCAGACCAGTGGGGCCGACTGGCTTAATGACACCCACTGGGTCCACCACACAAATATCCTGAGCCCGGGGTCTGGAAGAAGAGGGGTGGGCAGCGTCCTCTGCTACACAGCCTCCCCCATTCCTCAACGCCCCCCAACTTGCTGTTCCTGTTGGCTCGCAGGTTTCTCTCCTGGCTGCCTACCGTCTTTTCTCTCTTTCTCAGGGCCTCTTTCTCACCTCCCCAAGTTTTTCTGGCAGAACAGGGAGAGTCAGCCTGACCTCTGCCGTGTCCTGTCCCCTTACACTGAGTAGCTGCCCTCCCTTGGGCCGGGATTGGGTGGACAGGTGTGGGCTCCAGGGATTGGACCAGGGACCCGTTCTCTTCCTTAACGGCCTGCACTCACCAACCTGAGCACTCCAAAGCGCAAGCGGCGGCCCCAGGATGGGCCCCGCGAGCACCAGACGGGCTCCGCACGCAGTGAAGGCTATTACCCCATCAGCAAGAAAGAGAAGGACAAGTACCTGGATGTGTGCCCTGTCTCGGCCCGGCAGCTGGAAGGAGCGGACACTCAGGTGGGGCCCTGCCCTACGCCCCTGCTGCTGCTGCCGCCGCTGCCACCTCCACCTCCACCTCCACCTCCACCTCCACCTCCCTGCCTCGCTGCTCACCTCCTCCCTATCCTCCTCACAGGGGACGAATCGTGTGCTTTCCGAGCGCCGGTCTGAGCAGCGGCGGCTGCTGAGTGCCATCGGCACCTCAGCTATCGTGGACAGTGACCTGCTAAAGCTGAACCAGCTCAAGGTGAGACGTGAGGACCTGGAGGGGAGCAGGCTCGGTGAACAGGCCGAAGTGTGTGCCCTAGCATTGGGAGGCAGGGAGGTGGGCGGTCCAGACACGCTGCATCCAGCAATACGGTCTCCCTCTGCTCCCCAGTTCCGGAAGAAGAAGCTCCGATTTGGCCGTAGCCGGATCCATGAGTGGGGTCTCTTTGCCATGGAACCCATTGCAGCCGATGAGATGGTCATCGAGTATGTGGGTCAGAACATCCGCCAGGTGAGGCTCCAGGCCTAGCCCCAGGCCCAGCTGTTGCTCTGACACCAGGCAGCACAGGATCTCACAAGTAGTGTTTGACTCTGCACAAAGCCTGTGTCCTTGCTCCATCCTTCATTAGGGGTGGGTTTGTTTTTGAGACAGGGTCTCACTGTATAGTCCATGCTGGCCTCAAAGTCAGTGATCTTCCTGCTCTGATCCCAAGGGCTGGAGTTAGTGGTGTGCACCAGCGTGCCCAGCCCCGCTTCGTGAATATAGGTACGAGAAGCATGTTCGTGGTCCAGCAGGAATCAGCACTGGGTAGGGACTCTCTCCCTTTAAGAATGTGAGGAACATCAGCCAAGTAGCAGTAAAGGCCGGTGTTTGATATTAAAGGGGAAGCTGGCAGGCGATAGCGGAAGGACCAGAGACTGGAGACAGTGTTTAAGCAGAGAGCTGAAGGATGGGAGGATCTCCGGGCTGAGGTGGGGGTGTGCTTCTGTGTCAGGGCGGCATGTGCAAAGGCCTGGAGACAGAGCAGTCAGTGTGCTAAGCAAAAGAACAGGCCAGTGGCAGGGATGGGAGTCTGAAGGGGCAGATGGTGCACGGGATCTGTGGTGCTGAGGAGCCATATTAGTAGTAATGGCCTGTGGTGAGAGGGGGCCTCTGGGAAGCTAAGCAGGAGACCTCGCGGTTAGTGAGCTCCTGGCTACATGAGAGAGAACTGGTCTAGGCTGAAGATGGGGGCTGTTGCAAAGATCCAGGCCAAGGTGGGGGTGGCCTGGACTAGGCAGTGGCAGCAAAGGTGACAGGACTCTGCTCTGCGGGTCCAAGGCTTTGGCAGGCCCAAGCAGTGGGGTGGTAGTGTGTAGGAACACAGGAGAAGGTGAGCCCTTCCTCAGGGTGCTGCTGATGGCTTCTGAGTGTGATAGGGCTTCCTTCAATGGGAGCGAGGAGGAGGAGTTCTAGTTAGAAGTGTGAGGTTGCAGGGCCCTGGGGACCTCTAGCGGTTGATAATGAGCAGCTCGCCTGATGTAGAGCTTGGCTGGAAGTGGGACTTTAGGAGGACTCCCCACTTCTTAGATGGTGGCTGCAGCTCTGTGAGTGAGATCACCCATGGAGAATACAACACTGCTTGCCTCTTTTGCTGGGAAATAAGAGTTGCCTCTCCTCACACACAGATGATCTGCCATCTGCAGTGGCCAGCTGCACTGCCGCATGTTTTGGAGGGAGGGTCCTAGGAGGCTGATAGTAGGGCTCAGGTGAAGACCTGTCACTTCAGGAACTGCCCAGCCCCAGCCCCTGCCCCTCAGTGACCAGGCAGACAGTCTTGGGGCTGCTGCAGGTTTCCCGGGAGTCTCCGTATGGGTGGCTGAACCAGAAGGGCCGCCAGAGCCAGGGGTGGTGGTACAGGCCTATAGTCCAGCACTCTGCAAGGCTGAATTCCCTAAACTCTAGGAGAATCACAAGTTCAAGCCTAACTTGAGCAACCAAGACTTAGCAAAACAGGTCTCAAAATAACAAGAGCTGGGCTGGGTGTGATGGCGCATGCCTATAATCCCCCCCACTCGGGAGGCTGAGGCAGGAGGATCGTTGTGAGTTCAAGACCAGCCTGGACTACATAGTGAGTTCCAGGTCAGTCTGAACTACATAGTGAGACCCTGTCTCAAAAAACAAAAAACAAACAAAAAAAAAAACAACAAAAAAAAAATCCCCACAAAAAACCCTGTTTGTAGTTAGGTGTGAAGGGCCTGGGTCCAGTCCGCAGTACTGGGAGAAGAAGGCTGGGCTGAGGGGCTGAAGGGGTTCAGGGGCTCCTGGAAGAAGAGTCCAGAGAGCTGCTTCCTTGGGCAAGTCCTAGCCCAGCTGGAGTGGGAGCTGGTGGGATCAGGCTCGGCCCCTCCAGACATGAGAAGCAGACCATGACCTTGAGTCTCCCTTCCCCAGATGGTAGCCGACATGCGGGAGAAGCGCTATGTGCAGGAGGGCATTGGTAGCAGCTACCTGTTTCGGGTGGACCACGACACCATTATCGATGCTACCAAGTGTGGTAACCTGGCGAGGTTCATCAACCACTGCTGCACGGTGCGCTGGGAGCTGGGCAGAGGGGAGCTGGGTGGTGTGGAGGGGCCCCGGCTCACACGCCCTCCCTTACTGCAGCCCAACTGCTACGCCAAGGTGATAACCATTGAGTCACAGAAGAAGATCGTGATCTACTCCAAGCAGCCCATCGGGGTGGATGAGGAGATCACTTATGACTACAAATTCCCACTGGAAGACAACAAGATCCCATGTCTGTGCGGCACTGAGAGCTGCCGTGGCTCCCTCAACTGAGGTGGGCAGAACTGGTGCCCGCATCCCTATTTATTCCCCTTGGTGCCCTGAGCTCCCGGCACCCCCAGCCTTAGTGGGTTCAGCAGGGCCCCCATCTTCAAGGGCAGGGTTGAGGCCCAGAGCCCAGCGTGGGAGCCTCAGTCCCTTTTCTGCCTCTCCCACTGCCCCCGCCCCCCCATACCTAATTTTTTTTCTTTGCGGAGAAGAAGCTGTAAATGTTTTGTAGCTGCCAGCAGCTGTTTCCTGTGGAAACCTGGGGTGCCGGCCTGTACAGATCCTGTTCTTGGGGCTGCAGAGCCCCCTTGCTTTGTGTTATGGGGATTTCCCCTTGTGCCCTGCGTACACCCCTCCCCAGTTTAGGGGTCTCTAGGGGCAGTGGCCATGTTCTTCCCTGGGGGGGGGCCCTGTGTCCCAACCCTGGGGACTCCGTGCCTGGAACCCTGCCTCCTCCTTTTCCTGCCAGACCCTGTGGGTCACCCTCCCACCCTGGGGTGGGGCTCCCGCTCAGCCAGCCAGGATGGTGGGGGGTGGGCCCGTGTTGGGCTGGATTGTACATATGTTAATAGCGCAAACTCAACACATTTTTATAATTGTGATTAAACTTTATTGTACAAAAGTGCTTGTCAGTGTCTTTGGGAAGAGCAGGCTGGGGTGCTGGTTGAGGACCCAGGATGGAGCAAGGTGGAAGGAAAAAATGGGTAGCCCAAGGTTCGGAGTGGGCAAAGGGGCTCTCAGGCAAGAGCCTGGACCTGCAGATCCAGCTGTTTGTGGTTTGGGGCAGCCGCCAGGCGTATGAGGGCCACACAGGGATTCCCCTGCTAAAGCCAACCAGGCTGGGCCAAGGTCAGGCCTGCTTCCCTTCCCAGAGCCACAGCTGCTGCTGGCCTCGGTCTCCTGGGAAATCTGGCAGGAGGCAAGGACTGCAGTCATGCCTTGGGGCTGAGGTCACTGTTGCCTCTATGCTGTGGCCCCCCAAATCCCTCAGCACCCACCCAGCAGGCTTTGGCTTCTCTCCCAGGTGCTGTGCGGTAACCACATGCCAGTGGAGTGCTGAGTGGCCACCAGGGGGCACCCTATGGCAGCCGTGGGGGCAGAGGGGGTGGAGGTTGGGCTGGGCTCCGTTCCTGGAATGGGCCAGGAGGGAGGAGAGGCGAGCGGAAGGAAGAAGTTATGTGTGGTGAGCCGGCCAGTCCAGGAGACAGCCTCTCCAGTGCCAGCTTGGTTGTCCTGGGGCAGTAGCTGCAGGTAAGCAGAGGGACCCAGGCAGCCCTTTGCATCTTCCTGTACCTTTCCTTCTCCACCTGCACTTGCCCACTCTCCCGTTGCCCCTAGGCCTCTCCACCTCAAATGCTGACCTCTCCTGTGCCCCGACCTTTGCCTCTCAGTGACTCCCTGGTTGGGGTTCACAGGCCCAACAGGCAGGTGGCCCAATGGCTGCAGCTTCCAGGAACTGACTCCCCACCATGGCACTGGGCTCTTCTCCAGGCCACTAGGCCCCCTGAATAATAAGTAGCTGGGACAGGTGGCCCCAGGCAGCCCAGGTGAGCCAAAGTCTCTTCCCACAGCTGGCATGGCCGAATGTACAGAGGTCGCAGAGCTGGTCTACCTGGTCACAGGTGGCTGTGGCTTCCTGGGAGAACACATTGTGCGGATGTTACTGGAGCGGGAGCCCCGGCTCCGAGAGCTGCGTGTCTTTGACCTACATCTGAGTCCCTGGCTGGAGGAGCTGAAGACAGGTGACTGGTGGGGAGGCTGCGGGAAGGAGGGTGGTGGAAAAGATGATGCCTGTTTATGCTCTCCAGTCTGCATGGATGGGCTGAGTCACACTGGGAACATGTGGCTGCTGAGGGTGGAGGCCGAGCCCGGCCACTTGCGATGCTCCCACTCTGACACTGCCTCTGGCCCCTCACACCGCTAGGGCCTGTGCAGGTGACTGCCATCCAGGGGGATGTGACCCAGGCTCACGAGGTGGCAGCAGCTGTGTCCGGAGCCCACGTGGTCATCCACACAGCAGGGCTGGTGGACGTGTTTGGGAGGGTCACCCCTGAGACCATCTTCAAGGTCAACGTGCAGGGTGAGGCACCCCGGTTCCAGCCGCCCCTGGTGCTCCCTGGCACATGGCCTACCCTGTCTGCATGGCTGTTCACCCTGCCTCCATCTCACCCAGCCCCTGTGGTTCTCCCTGGGCCTGGGAAGGGGAGAGGAAAGATGTGGAGAAGGGAGCCTCAGCCTGGATACCACCCTCCCCCAGGCACGCGGAATGTGATTGAGGCTTGTGTGCAGATGGGGACTCGGTGCCTGGTCTACACAAGCAGCATGGAGGTCGTGGGGCCTAACATCAAAGGCCAGCCCTTCTACAGGTGAGCTGAGAGCCTATCACTGTAAGAGCCCGCTCTTCCCCCGGCACTGAGTCGTTTCCCCTTCATTAGAGGCAACGAGAACACCCCATATGAGGCCATGCACAAGCATCCCTATCCTCAGAGCAAGGCCCAAGCTGAGCGGCTGGTCCTGGAGGCCAACGGAAGGAAGGTGAGACTGCGCAGGAGCCAGGGTGGCGCCTACCCTGCTTCCCTGTCACCTCCCAGCTGCAGCACAAAGGGCTGGGCAGAGAGGTGGCTGCTGGTCCTAGGTCCCGTCAATGCCTGCATTTTGCCAACAGGTTCGCGGGGGCCTGCCCCTGGTGACATGTGCCCTCCGTCCCACGGGCATCTATGGTGAAGGCCATCAGATCATGAGGGATTTCTACCGCCAGGGCCTGCGTCTGGGCGGCTGGCTCTTCAGGGCTGTCCCAGCTTCAGTGGAGCATGGTCGGGTCTACGTGGGTAAGGCCGGGGCTGGACAGGGGAGGCCAAAGACAGGACAGGAGGGCCTGCTGTGGGAGTGGCAGGCTCCATGCACTCTGGGAAGGGTGCTGTGTGCTCCGGCTAGAAGAGGGTGCTCTGCTCAGGCCCAGGCACACAGCAGTAATGTGAGAATTTATTGCATGGGCCACAGAGGAAACAGCATCTGTGCAAGCTGGCAAGACTGACACAGAAACTAGTCACAGGCTAAGGAGAGCAGTGCAGCTGTCCCCATCCAGACAGCGGCTCCCAGGGGGGAAGGAGCAGCGTCTGCTGGGAGTAGCAGTGTGGGTGCAAACCCCCAGCGGAGCAGTAGCTCCCCAGACAGGGAAGAATCAGCCCTAACAGGCTGCAGTGGGGATGAATCCGCCTGGGCCGGGGCAGCAGCACCTGCAGGACAGGAAGGGCCTACAGCAGCACATGGACCCCTTTGCCCCGCCCTGGCAGGTAATGTGGCCTGGATGCATGTGCTGGTGGCCCGGGAGCTGGAGCAGCGGGCAGTGCTCATGGGCGGCCAAGTGTACTTCTGCTACGACCAGTCACCTTATAAGAGCTACGAGGATTTCAACATGGAGTTTCTGGGCCCCTGTGGACTGCGGCTAGTGGGCACCCGCCCACTGTTACCTCACTGGCTCCTGGTGTTCCTGGCTGCCCTTAACGCCTTGCTGCAGTGCCTGCTACGGCCGCTGGTGCTCTATGCACCTCTGCTCAATCCCTACACACTAGCCGTGGCCAATACCACCTTCACTGTCAGCACCAACAAGGCTCAGCGCCATTTTGGCTACGAACCCCTTTTCTCATGGGAGGATAGCCGGGCACGTACCATCCTCTGGGTGCAGGGCTCGGCCCAGTGACAGTGGGGCTGGGGGCTCTGTGCAGGACTGGGTGTCCTGCATGTGGCCTTCCACACCTGAAGTCCATAAGGAACCTCCCAAGCTCTACGGCAGAGTCTGGAGACAGGAAGAGCCTCTCAGCCCAGACCCCTCCCCATCATCCATCGCACTGTTTCTGGGCAGCAGGTGGCCTCAGGCTTAGGTTCTCCAGCTCCTCCCTGCACCATCCTCCCTCCTTAGAGGCTTATCTTCCCACTATTTAAAAAAAGGAGTATCACCTTTACACACTTATTTTTAATTCCCCTCCAGAGAGCTGAGGAAGTCAGTGGCCTTCCACCCTAATTCAGGGCCTGCAGCTGTGTTAGCCCTCTGCCTGAGGAGGCCCCAGGGATGCTGTTCCTGGCCAACCTCCAGATTAAAATCCTTGTCCAAGCCTGTGTCCAATGGTCTGTCCATCTCCACCCCCACCACAGACCTCGCCTCCCCACGACGCCGTCCCACGTGGGATGGAAGGAAGTGAGCACACAGGACACCCGCTGTTGGATTGGTTGCTATTTCTCCCGTCCCACGGGACCCGACCTGGCCCGGGGTGGGGTTGGGGGCTCTGGGGACAGGACATGCAGGGCTGGGGTGGGGGGGCAAAATTTCCTGTGTTTTATCCATTTGCAACTTGGTCACCAATGGAGAGAAATGAGACTCTGGGGGCTAACAGCAGAGGGCGGCCTGGCTCTGGGCCCCCAGAGGGGGTGGGGGCTGGGGACAGGACATGCAGGGCTGGGGTGGGGGGGCAAAATTTCCTGTGTTTTATCCATTTGCAACTTGGTCACCAATGGAGAGAAATGAGACTCTGGGGGCTAACAGCAGAGGGCGGCCTGGCTCTGGGCCCCCAGCCAGGCCCCAGGAGTCCTGTCCCCTCTGGGAAGGGGAGGGGGAGAGCTCTAGAAACCAACGGAGAAACAGAAGGGGCAAGGGCTCAGGTCAGCAAACACGGCTACATCACGTGACACGCCAGCGACACAGAAACACGCCAACGCACACGGCTGCACAGCAGGGAGGGGATGGGGAGAAGGGAGCCGGGGGCCACCCATCTTGTCCTCTGCGGGGCAGGCTGGGGAGGCAGGGAGAATGCATAGAACACATCATGTGTACACACTCCAGGCAGGGCAAGAGCGTGCATCGACCCATGGGCACATGGGATGGTCACGAAGTGTGCTTTGTGAGAGGGAGGGCTGGGGAGGGAGGGGGGGTGCTGAGCCCTGGCCAGGCCCGGGACCACCCGCAGGGCAAACCTGGCGTGGATGGCTGTAGATGTGTGGAAGGTAGACAGCACACCCTGTCTGAGAACATGCAAGACACCAGCCCCAGACCACACTCTGGACACACGTGCAGACAGCAGCCAACAAGCAAACCCATCAGATGATGCGCACGACTGCAGAAAGCTGGGGTGTGGCAGACCCCTGGGGCTCCCCAGTCAACTTCAGGCCCAGAGATGGGCAGCTAACGGCCTACTGCTGTTCAAGGAGGCAGGAGCAGCACTGCAGCCATGGCTCCACCCTTCTTTCATGGGAAGTGAGGCTGGGGCTTTGGGAAACACCTGGGCTGAAAGGAGGTCCTGGGTAGACTGCAGGAAGGAAGGAGGCTGGGTGCTGGGCCTGCAGTGACGTCTCCAAAGAAGCCTGGGCTGGGAGCAGGAAGGCTGGAGACTACAGGTGGACTTCCTGCCCTGTAAATGTGCATCTGGAGAGGGTCGGGGATTTAGCTCAGTGATTCCCCCCACTGCTTGCCTTGCAAGCACAAGGACCCAAGTTGGATCCCCGGTGCCAAAAAAACAAAACAAAATAAAAAAACAACAGATAAAAGTGCATCTGGGGAGGGGTAGGCAGGCTTCCTCCTCAGAACGGACCTGGGGGTCACGAACAGATGGCCACGCTGACACACAGGCCAGGGGAGCCAAGAACAGAAGAGGCTGGCAGGGAGGGGCTGGGGACTGCATTCCGGTCACACTTAAAGTCTCCTTGCTCCCTACATGTGCATGCATGTGTCTTGTGGCAAGCTGCCTGGGGTCTGCACACATACACGAGCCCGCCCCCCAGCACGTATGTAAGGCCCAGCCCCTTCGTGTTCCCGGGTGCTGTGCTCACTGACTTGCTCCTGGGTGGTGGTAGGGATCCTAATGTCTGCTTTTCGCCCTGTACCCACAAACTATGTATGCTAGGTGCTAGGCCTTCCCTCACTATGAACCCCAGGCTTGTGCCTTCAGTCTCAACCACTGCCGTGATTGTCCACTCTAGCAGAAGAGCCTAGGGCACCGAATGCGGCAATGAGACAAAACACCGGCTTCTCCCAGGTCCCAGAAGAGTGTACCCGAGGCAGGAAGGACAATGTCCTGCTCTGCACCTGTCTGGGCAGCCTTGACATTCGGGCCCCTCAGTAACAGCTCTGCAAACAGGCCTTCCAGACGGCCTTTGCGTGCAGACGGGTGAAGGCCCGTGGGAACACCACACTGGCTGCAGCATGTGAGTGCCCCGGGGCACGAGTGCATGCCTGATGTCATCGTCATGGGCCTCCTCGGCCTTGGCCTGAGGTGCTCAGCTGACACATGCTCAGACCTGCCTCGGACAGACAGAAGAAATAAGGCCGAAAGCATGTGTGCAAAGGGCCTGTGCTGGCAGCCGGGGAGCTCCAGCTACACAAAGCTGGTGCAGCAGTGTGTGTGGCCACACCAGATGCTGGTCAGGGGCGCTGGCAGGGGCGGGCCAAGCAACTGGCTAAACAACCCTGGAGTTCTGGGGCACGTGTGTGCGCTATGCAGCCCCCAAACACACACACACACACACACACACACACACACACACACACACAGTCACAGCTGTGTCCTAGGTAGCATAGAAATGGGGATACCTGCATCCACCCTCAACAGGAGTCTGGTCCACGATGTGCAGGGCTCCTGTCAACACTCTGCGTAAGCTTGCACACACACATACACTTGTCCCTCGCATCTGCTAGGAAAAACAGTCTACAGAACAGACAAGGTCACTTACATGTGTACGCTTCCACTCACCTCCACAGGCCCCCCCCACACACACACACCCACACACGAGGACACAGCAGCCCCTGCGGTCACCAGCCAGGAGGGTTTGTTCTACATCATGTGGGGTGTCTGCCACGGCCTGTGTGTCTCGGGGCTCCCTGGGTCCTCGGAGTGTGAATATCTGCACATGCTGCCCGCTCCATTCAGAGCAGACTGGGAAGGAGGTGTGGGGAGGAACTGACGTCACGTGAGTTTCAGACTCAAACACAAAATTTCATGTACAGTTGTGTGTCCATAGGTCTTTGGCCACACACAAACTCGCAAACACACACGGGGCATGGTGGGCTACTGTCCCACTCAGCCAGTTGGCACCACAACCCCCATGACAAGGAAGCTCAAACCGCAGACTCAGGTAGGGCAGGGGAGATGCAGTGCACACATCCACACGCGCGCACACGCTGGGTGTCCACACGTCTCGAGCATGTGCCAGCGGCATGCATGTTGGTGTGCATGTGTAATCACGCCTGCTGCTATCTACGTGCGGGGCAGAGGTGGGTGGCCCATGGAGGGGAGGTCCAGGGACTCCAGGGTCTGCTGTGGGGGAAGAGGGAGAGGGGCTGCCGGGGTCCGTTTTGGGGTTGGCGGTGGGGGTATTGCTCCCAACGTGGTGGGGGGCTGGAAGGGATATGGGCAGGGGCCTACAAGCCCAGCGTCCCCCCAATGGACGACGCCAAGACCACCCCCAGCACCACACAGCAAATGATGATCATGATTTTCTTCTGCAGGTAGGAAAGAGACAGAGAAACAACAGAGAGAAACAGAGAAACAGAGACGGTGGTAAAGGGAGACAAACCAACAGGCAGATGGAGGAATGTGGGGAGGGTGTGAGGAAAAAGGAGGGAGAGAAAACAGAAATAGGAAGAGGTCAGAGCCAGAGATAAGGCCTCTCACCCAGCTTCATCATCAGCTCAGCCCTGGTCTGAGCCGGGCCCCGCAGCCCCCGTCCCCCAGGCCCAGGCCCTGCTCACCCTCCGCGCCTTGCTCTGATATTTCACAGCTTTCTTGGTGTCGGACACAGCTCGCTCCACATAGTCCACGGAATGTTCCACGTTGTACTCGATTCGGTCGATCATCTCACCCTGGGGGCAGACGAGTGGTGCAGGGAGGGAGGGAGGAATCAGGGGCTGGAGGAGGGAACTGCAGGGCCCGGGAGGCACCCAAGGTGGAGGGCCACAGCCCGTACCTGGCTTTCCACCAGCATGGCCATGTCCACAAACATGTCATGCAGCTCGCGGATGCTGGTTTCCAACTTGATGATCTCGTTGTGCCTCGTCTCAATCTCGTTCAAGGCCTGCTTTGTCATCTGTGAGTCCATTTTGATCTAGGGCAATGGGGGGAGCGTCACCCTTTGCCCCTGTGATGAGCTTCAACTCAGCAGCCAGTTTCTGGCTGGGAATCACTTACTAGCTGTAACCACAAGCAAATTATCTAGCCTCTCCAGGCCTCACTCAGTTTCCTCACCTAAAGCCGGGCATGGTGGCGCACACCTGTAATCCCAGCACTCTGGAGGCTGAGGCAGGAGGGTCACTGTGAGTTCGAGACCAGCCTAGGCTACAAAGTGAGTTCCAGGTCAGTCTCAACTACATAGTGAGACCCTGTCTCAAAAACAAAAACAAAAAACCAGTTTCCCCACCTAGAAAATATGGACATGACAGTTTCCACTTCACAGGGCTATTGTGCACGTGAAATGAGTTACTCTGTGCACATCAATTGGAACATCGCCTGACACACAGTAAGCACTAAAGAGAAGTCTGCTGGTTATAAGAACTAGAACTTTCAGAGTTCCCCACCTAGCCCCAGGGCTTCCTCTAGCACACACACCAGACACCTAGGAGGAGAAACGACAAAGGCAGCCAGGGTGCAAGGGCAGCAGCAGGCAGGCTGTGGCCCCGGGGTCGCAGCAGTTCTTCCTCTTCGCTGCACACCCCCCAGGCCGAGCCTCCACGCCCACTCAGCTCAGACCATGCAGAGCCACTCTTTCACCGCAAGTCCTGCTGAGCTCCCAGCTGTCTGGGCCACAGACCTCAGTCTGGCAGGCAAGGCCCCATTCTCCTTTACTGTCCATTTCTCCTGCTTACCCTGAGAACCAAAAGCATCCAGTGTCCTCTTAGCAAGGCTCTCCCTGCCTGGTCATCTTGTTCTCTCTGCCTGGGTCCCCGTGTTCAAAAGCTCTTCTCCCATAGTGCAGCTCAGCGACACCTCCCTCCAGAAGGCTTGACTCCACTGTTGTTCACCCCAACACAGCACTCGCCTGCAGCCTCCACACCCCTCCACTGAGGCCCAACTACCCTGATCTATAAGGATAGGTTTCCACTGCACCGACAGTGGGCCAACGGCATGGTCAGCTTGCGTCCACTGAAGAGGCCCCTGGGCACTGCCCACCAGGCGCCCCTCATTCTCCACAGACAGAAGACAGCCTGGGCAGAGCTGTTTGGGGAGTTTCCATGTGAACTGGCTCACAAGCAATTTGCCCAAAATTAATTCAGTAAAGACCAGTTATCCAAGAAACAAGTCACTGAGGACTATTAGACAATCGTGGTACATACTTTAAACCTGGGTGACAGGGGCCGGGGATTTAGCTCAGTGGTGCTGTCGCCTGCCTTGCAAGCACAAGGTCCTGAGTTCAATCCCCAGTGCCAAAAACAACAACAAAAAACCTGGATGAAACCACTACCCAGAAATATTCAGTCATCAGAACACTAAACAAATGGGTCCAGGACAAAAGTCCAAAGGAGAAGAAAGAACTCTACTTAGGGGAAAGTCCATCTGTTCACATGTAAAACAAGTGCGGTGTGCAAAACTTAAGCAAGAGTAAAACTTATTAAAAACAAAAAACAAAAAACTCCAAAATGTAGACAAGTCACGTGGCACAGGATGTGCTTCTGACTCTAGAACAGGTCGCACAGCCCTCCCTGTATAGATGCCCAAGGCCATGGTGGGCTCTGTCCCTGAACCAGCTGCCCCAGCTGTGAAGCAGCATCCCCTGTGGCTGTGCAGAGGGTGAAATGCTGATTAGCAAAAGCCAGCATGTGGAGTTCCAGCACTGCTTGGCATCTGTACGGACAGACGGCCTTGATGGCCCGCCTCCGTGGAATTCCCCAGGTCCTGGTCCAGGCTGCCGGCTGCTCAGGAACTGGCTCGGCCTGGGCTTGGGGAGGGGCGGATGCTTCCCACAGCAGCCCTGCCCTGGGCTCACATCGTCGGTGAAGATGGCCAGCTTCCCGCTCTCCAGCATGTCCTCCAGCTCTTCATTGGTCGTGGTCCTGCCGGCTGTGGGGAGAAGGATTCAGGGCCTGGGCCCTGGCTGGGCAGCAGGATAGGTGGGGACCCAAGAACCACCCTCCCAGCTGCAAGGGAAGGGTAGGGAGGGCTTTGGGGCAGACCCGGGCAGGGAGTCAACGCACTGATCTCGAGCTGCCGCTGGATCCGGTCCTTGCAGCGGTCCCGGTACTTGGACTGGGTGGCGTTGTACTCGGTCATTACCTCCACGAACTTCCGCGAGAGTGTAGAGTGCTGTGTAGGAGTGGGAGTGTGGACAGGGGACGGGACAGATGCTTTAGTTTACAACCCTCCTTCAGTGTGGCCTCAACTGACTCCAGGAAGGTTCAGCGCCCAGCCCCAAGGGGCACCCTCACCCTGCACAGCCTGCAGGGCCCCAAGGCGTGTGGCCCACCCCCCCAGGCCTTGGCCCCCACCTGGGTCTTGCGGATACGCAGGTCTGCGGAGGACCGGTTCAGCCCCTCCTCCTGTTCAATGCTCTGCTCGATCGCTGTGGGAGACAGGGCACAGTGACTGGCAGGAGGCCTGGGGCGTTAGGGCAGGGTCTGGGCCTAGAGAGAAACCCCGCACCAGGGCATGGTGAGCGGTGAAGGGAGGGGCAGCATCTGACAGGTCAGAAGCTGAGGCTGCGAGGGTCAGGCATGGCCAGGCAGAAGCGGCTGTCTGCTCTGGTGGGAAGAGTGGGTCTTGGAAAGCGCCAGCAGCTCCTGCCAGCCCATGAGGGGATGAAGCCCCATCCATTAATGGGAGCGAAGTCTCCACTTCCCACAGGCCCTGGACAAGGGCAAATACCTAATCAGGATTTTTTGTTATTTCCTGGCACTCCTGGGCTCAGGCAATCCTCAGGCTTCAGCCTCCAGAGTACTGTGACCACAGGCAAGGGCCACCATGCCACGTGACCCTGTGATCTCTTGGGGGGAAAGTGGACTTCCAGCTGATTCAGCTTCTGGTGGCCACTTTTTCCCTAAAGAGTTTCAGGCAAACAGATGGACACTCCAACAGAGAAAACAGCCCCTCCCCTGCCCTGCCAGGAGACTCCTGTCCCAGGAGCTCCCACTCCTGTGGGGTGCTCTGGAGAAGTGTGCAGATTAACTGGGATTCCTGCTTTTGGACCGTGTGCTCCTGACTGCCATTCAGATTTTCTGAAAGAAGAGCCTGCAGTAAGATCAGAAAATGCAGCAGGGATGAATCACCGGAGAGGGCTCAGACCTCGCAGGGCCTCCGGCCATCCAGAGAACTTCCCTTCTCTGTTCTGGAGCAGTGAGGAGGTGTGGGGCTGCACGCACCCCAAGGCCTCCTGCCAGCAAAACAGGCACAGCGACTGAGAGGCGGCCATGGCCCAGGGGATGCAGGCTCACAAGCCCAGGGATGCCAGTCTCAGGCCGACCGGGCCCAGCTGTCAGACTTTTTACAACAATCCTGGGCTCAGTGACACCGGCCCATCTTTCACTAGCAACAGGTTCAAATAGTGGAATGACTCTCTCAAGGTCACACTCAAAGCCTCAGCTCACACCGCCCAGTGGAAGGCGATGGAGAAGAGGAGAATCTTCTCTTTTCCTGAAGGCCAGCTTCTCAAGCCACTGCCATTTTTCTCCTCTTCTTCTTGAACCCCCAAACCACAGAACTCACCACCTTCAAGAGAGTTCAAGGTCAAAGCTCAATGGATCAAGGAAACATTAAGCCTAGGAGTTAAACTGTGCGCTAGCAGGGACCTTATGGCTCTTGCAGGGAGTGAAGGGGAGGCTGGCGGGGAGGGCCTCCCAATCCGGTTTAGCCAGAACCTGGCATTTATATGTTTTATGTATCGGGGTTTGTTTGTTTTTTAGTTTTTTGAGACAAGGTCTCACTATTAGATCAGGCCAGCCTTGAACTCACTATGTGGCCTCAAAATCAAAGTGATCCTCCTGCCTCAGCCTCCCAAGTGCTGGGATTACAGGTGTATACCACCACACCCGGCGGGGTTTGTTTTATATATTGGGATCATTATAAGATTTCATTTGGAGTAAAAGGTTTTGGGGGGGGTTTGATTGCTTCCGTCGGGGCCAGGGATTTAGCTCAAAGGTTCCGCCGCCTGTCTCCCAAGCACAAGGACCTGAGTTTGATCCCCGGTACCAAAAATAAAACAATTTTAAAAAGTTCCTAATGAAATTGCTTCCATTTCTCTCACTATACTGATAAGCAAGCTGAGGGTGGGGACTGCCTGGTTCCTTACTGTCATCCCAGGTTAGGGTGTGCTCACCTGTGTGTGGAGGGCTTGTTTTTACACATCAGCCGCTAAGGCTCCCATCCGGCCTCCCCAGAGTCTAGGAGGACATGGAGCTTCTGTGCCCATCTCTCTGGGCCAAGGTCAGTGCTCAGCAGATAAAGCTCCTTTCTCCAAAACCTGGCAGTGGGCCTCGGGCACTGCAGGTTCCGAGTTACCAAGCACACACGAGCCAGCATCACGGCAATGCTGCTTTTCCCCTAGCACCAGCCACAAGGAGGTTCCCAGCCCACAGTGCTCTGGGCGAAGGTGGTTATTACCAGCACCCAAGTCCTTAAATTAGAGTGACTGCATGAGCACTTGGGAAGGCCCCCTGAATGTGTGCCAGCCCTGATGTCAGCAGAAGGCGTGATCTGCCGGGAGCCCAGGAACCAATTTAGATGCAGTTGCCGAGCCCCGCCCCACCGCGCTCAGCACTGCACTGGGGACCTGGTCAGGAGCAATGAGGATGGAAAACCTTCCTCCTCAAAGGTAGGACTTCCCTGACGGGTCTTCACACCCACGGACCTGGCAGAGCTCAGATGCAGTTGGACTGCAACCCTCCTCTCCCTCGTTTCCTGGTCCTGTGTCTCTCTCTGGATCGATGGGACCAATCTCAGGGCTGTGCTGTCGGGAGCCAGGGACATTCCTCACGAAAGCCCCACCCTGGCCGCGAAGTCAAGTGCTTCCTCTCCACCCCTCACCTTTCAACTTGGACCGGACCTTGTTGGCCGTCTTCTTGATGTCGGCGGTGAGGTCCTCCAGCTCCTGCTTGGTCTCTGAGGGAGGGTGGGGGAGTGAGTGAAGGGTCCGGGCGACACCCCCGCCGCCCCCGTGCCCCAACCCCGGCCCAGCGGCGGCACTCACTCTCATCTGGGTTGGGGGCGGCCAGGATGGCACTATGCTGCTTTTTCACCTGTTCCACATCTTCTGACAGTTTCTCAATGCAGCCTCGAATCTCTTCTACCTGGGGAAGAAAATTGGCAACGTTCAGCCAAGTTCTTGGGTCAGATGAGGGGACCCAAAAGGGAAATGGGCCAGACCCAGAAGGGTTCACAAAAGGCCAAGGTAGGTGCAGGGGAAGAGAAGACAGTCCACAGGGAAAAGGAGGTAGCTGGCTAGGGGACAGGGAACTCATTACCTGTTCAAAGAACTCGTCCATAAAGTGGTCCCGATCCACGTGAACCACCTCCTCCTCATCGTCACTGTCTTTCGCCTGGAGGCAAAGGAAGGCTGGATCGGTGAGCAGCCCCTATCTTTTTTTTTTTTTTTTTTGTTTTTTT